TGAGACCTGTTATCTACACCTCGAAGACTAAACCGCAGACCTATTCAAGCTGTCCATCCATGACAGTACAAAATACAGCCTTGAGAAAACACCCCTCAATCCAGACTGTGCCAGCAGATCCTGGCGCTGCTGCCAGCATCACTGGGCTCCTCATTCATGTTCAAGGAGACAAACAGAGCTGTCAGATCCTTAATGCCATCATTAGGAAGACCACAGTCACAAACCTCGCTTACCAACATCATGGTCAGCCCTGCCCCACCAGACCCCCAGGAACCACTGTCCCAGACCCTGGCCACTCTACAGCCCATCCACAACACGATGGGGACCAACACCTTTCCCTCATCTTACATTAAAATTCACACATAGCTAAGTTATATTTGCTCGGTCTTGTAAAAATGCTCTCCCTTAACCAATATGTTTGTTCTCCCTTCATGGGATCCACACCAAGTGTATTAATAAAGCATAACAAAATTCTCCCCGAGCCCTCATTTCGCTAGGTTAAACAAAGCAATCTCTTTCAGATGCGTTCTTTATTCTCCTGTCACCCTGGTAGCCCTCCCTTGGTGGCTGAGGTCCTTTTGAACACCCTGTTCTGGCCTCTATCTCCCCGGAGTCACAAACAAGAAGCCCGACTTGCCCTTTCCCCACATGGTGCAATAGCATCATTACTGCGTCCTGACATGTGGCCAGAACCAGAGACTTTGGGCTGTGACCTGCCGCTCGGCCCCATGGCAAAATTAATTCTCAAGGACATCGGTAAACATGTCTTAATATTTTTGCAAATTGAAGGGGAAACACAGCTTGGAAGATGCAATTTAAACTTTGGTAGAATAAACGGCAGATTAGAAATGGCAGAAATGTGAACCTTTTGCTAGAATGTAGTGTGGTAAGAGGTATTTCATTTTTTTACGTTCCTGTTGCAAACAACTGATGTTTAAATCATCTGCAGTTCATGGCTTTGCAGATCAAGCATCTGGCACTGAGGTAGATTGAATTGATTACAAACTCCTGCCTTCTAAACTTTCAATTAATTACTTCATAATTCTCACTTCTGTTCAGTAAGGTCACTGAAATACAGTTAACTGGATTATCTTCCTCTCTTTCATGGGATTTTTCTTTCACTGATATAAATGTAGGCTAAAGACACATTAGGCCTTTTTCTTTTTTATTAACTATCTTGATTAATTTTCTTGGTACAAAAAGGTGTAAAACTATGTAACAAGTAACAGTGGTCCAGAATGGACTTGGTGGCTGCGCTAAGGCAGGGATTTGGGAGACTGAAACTCAACCTCAAGCTCTGCCAGAGTTTTCGACTGACTGTGGCCAAACCCCACCAGCTCTTGCTGTTCCCTGTATCCACACATGGGACAGTGATGGAGAGGCTGCTGCTTCCCTTCTGCCTTAGTTATTTACTAATCATGTTACCTTTCTATGTTTTACTCATGGAAATTAAGGCAACTTTAATCCATTAAAATGCATTTATTCTCTGAAACGCTTAGATGAATGCGTTCAGAAATTGCCAGCCCAAATAGCAGAGAAGAGAATATTCAAAATGACAGCTACTGGGTATGTGTGTATAGAAAGACCTCACACACACCCCCCCAAAAAAGGAAAAAAAGAGAGAGAGTTGGATTTACATAGCTTTTAAAGTGGAGTTTCACAGCAAATAATTTTGCAGTCTGGAGTTTGAACCTATTTGGGAGCTTATGATCAGACATGTGTCTTTATTCATTCAATTTGTGACACAATTTTTTTTTACTCGACAGAATGCAGCCTGTAGGGCAGATGAATTTTAAAGGGCTGAGACTTGCTTTTAAATGTTCTTTTTCTCCTGTTATTTCATGTGCTGCTCTAGGTCTGCTGCTGATCATTGATTCACAATGTAAAAGGAAACCCAGCCCTTTGACTGAATGATTTTACTTCGGCAAAAGCCCTCCTTTTCCCTTCATTTATTTCTCCCCAATAGCAGAAGTTGTGTCTAATCCCAAAATCCAAAGCTATGAACAATATTAAAAGGAAACATAAAACTGCTTCCATAAAATGTTATTATATCATCCCTATGAACCCTTTTCAGCGGGAAACGATATATAAGCTTATAGCACCAATTAGCTGTTTGATGTTTCCTTTACAGTCTCGAGTACTTTCAGACAGGTCAATCTCCATCTCAAAGGATGCATGAATCTTGCATCCTTACCTCCCGAGTCTCAGCACACAGAAGGTGAAGCAATAGCTTTATTAGCAGTGTAAGTACGAAGTGACCTGATTGAAAGTGCTTACACGCACAGGTCCCATTCAGGTCCACTGGATAGATAATGACAGCAGTTAAGAGTGATGCAGGTCCCTCTAAGTTACCGTGCAAACCCTAATGTTGATTCAAGGTGGGATCCCATCCATGTGGGATGAGCCATTGCTGTGGCTCACATCCAATCCACTGAGTGTCCAGTGCACGGCTGATAATTATGAATATCTATAGTAATATGTACATAAAGATATGAGCTGGAATGGAAAGAAATGGCCACAATCATCACCAAGATGGGATCCGCTCTGCTGCTCAGCGGATGCAGGACCTTTATCTACAAGCAGGGAGCTCAGCAGCTTTCCCTTCTTGCTAAGTGCTAAGATAAATACACAGGAAGAAATACAGGGACAGTGATTTTTTTTTAACTTTATCTTGAAAATGGCTCAATTGTTCTGGCTGTGCTTCATGGAGCTGGTCCCTACTTCCAACATAAAGTAGAACTGAAATAACATTAGAGTAACTGAAGATATATACACAATTGAAATAACAGTTGATACTGTCACAGTTTCTTCATTTTGGTTTCCTGATCTGATAGCACACAAATACTTCTGCAATCCATGAAGAACCCCCCCACATAAAAAGTACATTTATGGGTCTTCACACAACAGCCTCCTCTGAGAAAGGTTATAAAAATGATTAAGTGATGGCTGGCTTTTGGGCTGTACTAATAAAATAATGTTCTTTATGCAACAAGTACACTCAGCTCTTACATACCATTGGGGTCTGAAGGTCCAGTGGTTAAGGAAAATTAGTTTGAGAAGTATTTCGTACATGTTATTTGTAAGGGATTTTGGTGTGCCATATGGATTAATAGAGATTGCCATTTAAATTCTTCTGTTTTATATTCATTGCTTTATTACTCATAAAAATGCAAAAGAAAATGTTAATGACGATTACACCAAAGACTAATAAGTTAAAGCCTTAGGTTATACTTTGCATTTCTGAAGATATAAATGCGATCGCTTAATAATTATGCATATTTTTAACTATTGAGTTATTATTTCTCTATATACTTGTAGTTAGCCTAATTAATTTTAAGCTCTTGTTTATACGTTTTATACATGCAATTAATTTCCAACTTTATCTTTCAGCCCCTTGCACAAGGGCAGTAACTATTATAAAGACAATCAAAACTAAGAATTGTTCACCCTGGAACAATATAATAAATATTGCCACTATGTGTGTAAAACTGACACTGTTGTTCTGCAGCACTTATAACAGAAAACCGTCTCATGGAAATAAATGGACCATTCTTATTAGCAATATTGGGATTTTAGTATTTCTGTAAGAAAACTGGTCTGGAAGAAATAAAAACTATGGATTTTAATGCAAAATCAACTTATTTTGTCTTCACTTGTTTATTTTGTTTTTAATGAATTTCTATTAAATGTCTACATCTAATACAATTTCTACTTCTGAAAAATGGCTTTATTCATTCTAATTTAGCTTTTTTAAAGCTGATGAGTTAATTCTTGGGTTTGCAGCAATGCTTGTGATGGCACACAGAGAAGACCACCAGAGAAGACACTTGAGGTGCTCAAATGAAAGACTGCATCTTTTAAACGCTGATAAAATTTACAGAAAACTTCATACTTAAAGCTTCTTGGGGGTAGGATGCAATCCATGTGCGCAGGCAAGCTGAGTGCTATGGGAACAGAAAGAAGACCTTTGGGGCTGTGGGGCTGCTGATGGGGTATGAAATGCCCAGGCGAATCCTTCCTTGCTGAGCTGTGTTGGGAAGAGCACAAGCGACCTGATGCACAGCAGGACGAAGCATTTTTGTGCTTTCTCCCACACTGCCTTTGAGGAACTGCCTCTGAAGGAGCCCACAAACCCATTTGTTTTCCTCCTTTAAAGCTCTCAGCAAAGTAGTCCTGTAGGAAAGTTGGAGCTGGGCTGTTGGACTGCCAGTGCAGCTGGTGGCCGTGCCACCTGCAACCTCTGCATGACAGAGTGCACTCTGGTGTCTGTCTCACTGCGTCCATCAGTCATCTGTTATTTGATACTTTTATTACATGACCATCAAAGCATGTCTTGTGGCCTTGTTCTTTCTCCAGGGACAGTCGGGTCCTGATCCACGGTGACCCTTCCATGGCGTGCTGCAGTAGTGGCACTGGCTATTTCTGAACATGTCTTGACAACATAAACAAAACGAGGATGTTCCTGACAATATTTGGTATCAAGGCAAAGGCTGCAAGCCTTCTGTGAACTCAGGACCTGATTATGCACCTTTACATGGTGACTAGGCTGAATACCATGCAAAACAACCAAGTTTTGAGCCATGCAGGAGACCTATACCAAACTGACAGATACGTGCAGAGTACCAGAGTACCCTTGACTATTGTACTGGCATTTTCCTCTTATATTATTACATCTTGTTCAATTGTCAGCAGAGCAGGAGTGAGGATTTAAACCTGAGCAATCTGATCTAGTTAGCAGTGTCCCTGCTCACTGCAGGGGGGTTGGACTAGATGACCACTAGTGGTCCCTTCCAACCCTAAACATTCTATGATTCTATGATGATTCTATGATTTTGGCAAGTTGGAGACCCTACTGGGCTAATTATCTATTTGCAGGGACCCAGAGCCAATGGCACATAAGTCTATGGCTACATACATCCAAGAAAAATGAAAGAAAGAAATTTAAAAAAAAAGCTTTAAAACATGCAATAATGATTTGCAATTAGTTGTTTAACACATACCTTGTACAGTTAAGTGCACCTGCATCGTTCTAGGAGTGTGTTGAGTTTGCACAGAACAAGTGTATGGACCGTCATCTGTCACGTCTACGTCCTGTATCTGCAGGCTATATTCTCTTCTATTTGCTGTTGCAATTGAAACTCGAGGATCTACTGACCACTTATCACTTCCAGCAAAAATAATACTCGACCGATTCAGCCAGGCACCTTTTGAAGCTCCATCTTCCAAGTAACACCTGGGAGAAAAGGTGAAACCATAAGTATAAAAACATAGGAGCTTTTAAATACCATTAACTTGCTATTGATTCGTAGACTGAATACAGCTATAACATATTAGAGTTAAACCCCAAAACGTGAGTCATTTGTTAATTCACAAATCATCACAAAACCAAACAGACAATAAACATAAATACATTTTTTTGCTATGTTCTTCCTTTCTGATTTTCCTGCTGTGAGTGTTCAGTGGAGCAGCAGGTAGAAAGTCTCAGTTATTTCTGAATTGGACTCAATACTCCATTGGAGCAGCCCTCTCTGCTCCAGTTTCAGCCTGTAAGGATGAGCAGTAGGCATGTGCCCCTGTGCAAAATTATGGTCCTTTTCCTCAGACACAATAAACTTCTGCTGGCTTAGTTAAGGAACCAAGAGACTTTTTCCAACAAAAACTATAATGACCTTTTAGAATCCAAAATAATATTTTTTTTCTTTTCAAAAGGTTATTAGGTTTGTCACTGCTAATCATATTCAAGGCATCTCATTTAAAGCAAATATACATTCAATTAGCATGGATTTCCCTGCTGACAATAATAATGAAATATAAAATATAGTTCTTCTGAATATTTTTTAAAACATCTTCAGTATGGTAGCGACTCAAACAAATGCGATCTGTTTATTATGCCATATTTCAGCTTTTTTACAATTATTATTAGAACGATAACTAAAAATAGTGCTCTTCAGGGAATAATAGTCACCTTAACCAGGGCTCGGTGAATAACACCACCCCTACAATCAGAAGCAGATGTACCCCAGGCAGATTCCTTTCCTTCTAAATTGTAGTTGAAAAATATTCCTCCATAAAGTAAAGACTTTGTTTTTTGTTTTTTTTTAAATAAGTAAAAAGTACAGCTGGAGAATGAAAACACATATATCTGAAGAGTATGACAGCATTTCTACACAACATCTCGGGGGTTTGAACATGGCACTGGAGATTGCAAGGGAATTGCGAGCTGAACACACCACTGTGGGCACTGCAAACTGTCTGAAACTAATCAGTTGAGAAATATAAAGAACAAGGTATATTGCAAAATCTAATTTGTAGTCCGTTTCACCACCTGTAGATTCAAAAACCAGTTGGAGTATTAAAGGTCAATGTTAATTGAAAATCTTTTCTGTAGATATGCAACCAAAAAAAAAGCCACCGAGGCGTAACAGAAGTATAACCTTCTACTAAGGCAATTAGGCTCTGCAATACACTGCTGTTGTCAATATTTTGTATTGCATATTAGGAAACATTCGTAATTTTGCTCTAAAAATAGCTTTCCATCTTAAGTTGCTCACTTGCACACTGAGATGATGAGAAGTGCACTGATACTATTAAATGTCACTGCCAAGTCCTAAGAATAGTATGGTGTCAAGCACAATTACTAAAACTTTGTGGAAAAAGCGGTAAGGAGCTGTTGAATAACATTGACAGTAGTTCTTAGCGCAATTAAGTGAATAAGAAGGAAATCAGACATTTGTTGGGGCAAGACCCTTGCAGAGGTGAGACAGCACTGGTGTGAGAGTGCAGCACTCCTGAACCTCAGATGGGCAGAGCGGTGGCCCGGGGGGAAGGGGGTGATGCCAGAGGATGAAAAGCTGTACTGGAGCTGAGGAACCCATGTTGCTGGTAGAGCTAGAGGAGCAGCCACTCAGTGGTACACAGGCTGGTAGGATAAAAATGGTCCCAGGAGATGCTCTAATTTTTAAGGCAACTGGTGGCTTTGGAGTAGCCATCAAACTTTTCTGTCATCTGGAAAGAGAGGAGAGGGGCCCAGCCACTCAGTGGTACACAGGCTGGTAGGATAAAAATGGTCCCAGGAGATGCTCTAATTTTTAAGGCAACTGGTGGCTTTGGAGTAGCCATCAAACTTTTCTGTCATCTGGAAAGAGAGGAGTGGCACCGGGAACAGGTGGGAGAGCAGGAGAGAGGAAGGACACTAAAGGCCACTCCTCAATCCCCCGGGCACTTTGACTGTGTGGTCAACTGATGCTGGGATGATGCAGTCTACATTCTACTTTGCAGTGTTTGACAGGGAAAGCAATCCCTAGGCGAGGCAGCCTAGGGATGCTGTCTTGAACTTCAGCCAGAACGATGATTTTTTTTTTGAGCAGCCAGGAAAACACATGAAAGAGCAGCAAGTGAGGAAAGAAAACATAATGATGGGAAGAAAACTAGTAAACACCAGCAGAGTACAGGACTGTGTGGAGTATGAGAATAGAAGGAAAATACAAACACTGGAAATACTTCAAGTACCACCTTGCCATAGACAAGGAAATGTTTGTCATAAAAAGAGGAAGACTGGAGACAGGGAATGAGGCCTGAGCAAAAGAAAATGGTGATAGCTTGAGTAGAGAGCATAGGAAAATAGGGCTGGGAGAAGGGTGTCCAGGTGGAACAGCCAGCAAGGAGGGTCCCCCTCAGTGACTGAGAAGTGAGGGGATAAAAGGACAGAGAGAGCATGCAGAAGGAACTTCATTTCTATGAGCTGATGAAAAAAACCGAGCCTGTCTGCAGTGAGATTAGGGATATTTAACCATGGCTCAAAAACTAAATGAGCACTATACTCCAGTTTTCCATAAAGAAGGTGACATCTAGCACGCAGGAAAAGGCAGAGCAACTAATGGAGTCAAGGGCAGAGAAAAACCTTAATGGAGTCACGTTTGAGAGCATGAAACTGCAAATCCAGGAGCATGTGGGGGTTTTTTAAACAATCTGAAAGTGATGCTATGTGACTGGGAAATCATAAATGTATTATCTACATGTAAGGAAATGAGGAGAGTGAATCAGGCAAATTTTAGGCTAACCACCATGCCCACAATAGAATTTAAGGCTTTAAAACAACTTTAAAACTTGAAGGAAGGTAATACAAAGTGCAACAGACTAATGGGACATTTTTATTTGATAAAGAGTTTTTTTACATGAAGGAAATCCAACAGAAGAAGAGAATGCAATAGATCTCATCTCTTTGATAAAACATTAAAATAGCGCAACTATGGAAACTGTTAGGTGGGAGAAAATGGTGATTTCACAGCTTAAGCATATGGCGGTATTGTTTAAAGGAAAAAATGACATTCCCTTTAGGAATAAGAAACTAGAAGCATCAGGCTGAAATTCATCAGAAATGGATCATGAAAATAACTATTCATTTAATTAATGATCTCAACATGAAATCTGAAAGGGTTCTGAGAGAAGCTGCGTATGATACGGGATAAAAAATCACAGTTTATATAGCAGAGAATTGAGATGTCACGGGGAAGTATCACTTTGAGGATGGAGAGCACAGCAGATGTCTGTGAATCCCTGCAGGAGGAGTTTTGTAGGGTCTGGTCCCATTTGGAGAAGGCAAGGAGCTGCTTTCAAAGTTTTATGAACATTTTCAAATCGATTCTAATGAACAGAAGACTGGGGAGAAGCAGAGAAACCTCAGATTCACTGACATTTTTCTACAATGCGTTTCTTTTCTACTGGTATTTCTGCAGCAGCTGGATACAGTCAGTTATAGATGAGTATTTTTGAAGGCAGCCTGTAGTTTCAGTGACTGTTTACCATTTTACTTAACTCACTTGTTGTTTATACAAACGCACACATCCAAAAATATCCAAGAAAGTGTTAGCACCACATCTTCCCGCAAGAGAGAAAACCAGCCTTCTCTTCTACCTGCAGACAAAACCATCTTCGCCTTACAAATTCCCTGTTCTCTGTGCAGCTTGCAAGTAAAAAATTAGCCTTGCTTTAAAAAAAAAAAAAAAAAAGTGATAATAAAAGTTGAAATATTTGGTTATTAATTAAAGACAAAAGTGGAATTTTCATCAGATGCAAAGTAAACCACCAGAAAACCATGCTGAGAAGGGCAGTGCTCGGGTCTGCCATCACAGCACCTCCAAAGCATCTTCACAGCCTTCACACGGCGCCTGCTCTGAAAGTCCCAAAGGTTCTCAAAAACTTCTCATCTGCTGAGAAAAGGGAAAATACAGCAGTGCAGAAAGGAATATGAGACCTCTTGCTGTTTTACTTGATGTGCAAAGGTATTTTGTTAAAATAACTTCCTAAAACAAATAAGAAATGTTGCTTTATTAATTTCTAGGTGCATGGGTCTCATGGATAGAGATGAAAACCCGCTAAAATCAACTTCCTTTTATACCCCACTTACTGACAAAAAGTATGCAGTATGCAACTGCCGTATAAAACATGAAAACCAAGGCCTAAAAATGGAACAGATTTTTACTTGTTCATGGAGATTTTCAAGTTTGATGAAAACAAAATCACAAAAGGTATTTCCAAAAATGTAATTAGGAGAAAACATTTCATTTTTTTGTTCAAACTCTGACTAAGCACATTGTGGAATAACATTGGCTTCAAACTAAAAATAATATTCCAAATAAAGATCTTTGAAAACAGGTTAAATATTTTACCTCAGACAAGCTCCTTCAATACCTCAAAGCAGTCTTTTCTCTACCTTTTTTCAAAAGCCATGCAAGTTCCCTAACACTGTGGGAGTGAACTGATTTGAAAATGTTGCAGAATTTGGCTGAAATATTTTGCACAGGATAGCCGACAACTTAAACAGCAGCCAACATGCTGTATTTTCCCACTATGCGTGTGAGATGCGATGGATAAAGTGCGTATTTACTCCATGGAAGAATCAATCAAATGATTCAACTCAGAAATGTTTTCTAATCTAACAAATTTAATCCCTTTCTGTTTGCAAATCACTTCTCATTTCTGAAAATGCAGTTATTGCTTAGAAGTATTCTGCAGGCAACTTGGACTACACCTTCCCCCATGTGTGTTCCTGACCATTGGAGGCAATGATCCTGCACTGTAGTTATTGCAGAGGAATAGAAATAAGGACAAATAAGGATTTTTTTTCCCCTTTAAATGAAGGCTTGGTCTTTTTTCCTCCCCATACCTTTATAATTTTCTATGAAAGAGCAGTCTTTCCACATACGTTTTGTGTGACATAACCAACCAATTTTGTATGCATGAACATTTGCGAAGAATATGCAACAAGAACAACAAAAATACCGACCTTGAGCAAGCCCATGGGATCTGACCAGCGCACATGGACTCAGACTACAATACCACAACCAACCTTGTACACAGCCTCCCCATTTCTCCCTACAACTGCATTTCTCACATACTTGATCTCTGGATGCACTTCTTCATTTTAACTAGGAAGGGTATTTTAACATTATTATTTAAGCTACAGATAATAAGTGATAACTGTATTATTCTCGTTGCATGAACATGAGCATATCGGGAAACACATTGACTCTTTTGACTGAAACCCTGCAATGGTTCAGCTCCTACAAGAAGACAAATTGCCTCGCTGCACGTGCATGCTCTCCCCATCCATACCCCTCTCCTCTGGCAGGGATTGGGGCATGCTTGGACCAACACAGGCATCTCTTGAGTGAGGACTGGGGAGGAAAGACAGCTATGACAAGACAAGACCTCACAAAGAAAACCAGTGAGAACTACTGGGAACCCAGCTGAACGGGTCCATGTGCCCCGTCTGCCCCTTGCTGGGCACATGCCAGGGTGTAGCTCAGCTGGGCGGTGCACACCCACGCTCTGTGCCTGGGGTAACCACACACAGGACAATGCTAACCGAAGTCCTCTGTGAAAACCTCTATTTCCATAAGATTGCAGCAGCCTAGTTGAGCAAAACATGTTATAAACCCAAAAACGGGAGTTGCCAAGCTAACTTCTACTACAAACTTAAAATTTGGGTTTGTACTCTGGAATGCCCATTAAGTCTTCCAAACATTCCAGGGAACTTAAACACAAGTTTTCAGCAAATCTGAGAAGGGAGTTGGAGCAGAGTTTTGATTTCATGTGAACCTGTGAAGAGCTGGCAGCCTTCCACTGCAGTTCTCGCAGGATGAGTCTGAGCCTCAAGCTAAGACCCCAACTCTCCTTCAAATTCTCCTGGTTTTAAGTGCCATGAGTACATTGAATAATGATGCCAAATCAATGCACACTTCTAGATCAGCGCACATAAATGCCTGCAGGATGACGTTACTGAAGGAACACAGTTGCTCCTGCCAGAGGTCAGCACCAGGAATGCAGGAGCTGAGGTCGATGCTGATCACTGGCGGACAATTCAAGCCAAAGTACGCTGATGTTTAATAAAGTCCAACAATAAGACATTTCTTGCAGTAATGTATGGGAAATAATTTATTGAAAAGATGACAACCAGTAGAAGCTGCAAATATCAGTGTCCTTCCCTCTCTTCCCCTTTCCTCTCTTTCCTTAAATTTTATTTTAAAACTTCTTGCACATCATGGCAGCATTGTCTGCAATGTAATTTTTCAAATCTATGCACACGACCAACTATTTTTAGAAGTTAATAATAAAACTGTAGCACAATTTAAAAAAGCATAACAATCATTAAAAAAAAAAATTACTTTTGCTCTTTTACCTTTACATTGCTTGGAAAAGTATTGATTAAACTATGGCTGACATCAGAAGATAATTCTTCTAATTTTAAACTTGGAAGATTGGAAAAAAGAACAATTTATTTTTTAACTGATGATTGTAATCAGAAATTCTCTACCCAACAAGCATAAAAAATAGATTTTGTTAACAGTCATATACGGCTGAAGGTATTTTATTATTTTTCCGATCATTATTAATGGGGATGATCATCTGTAATTTGTAAGTACAGAGAAATATAGTCTCACCCAGCTTTCTTAAAGTTTTTAATCCTCTCTTTTTGATACCTCCCACTCTCCTAGCTCTCTAGTCTATTATTTCCCCATAATTAAAACATAGACTATTAATCTTTGTAGAAAACAGTTCTTCTCATTTGCTTAATTAAAACTGCACACGATTTCTTTTTACAAGAGCCCTCATGGTACAGCCAGGGTTGGAGCTCCCACCTCGCTGCCCTTGAAACAACTGCATGGGATTGCACACAAAGCTTTCCCATGTTCCATAGATCACATGAAGGTTTGACACAGGCCTATCTCCGAACAGCCTTCAATACACTCTCTGGGGTTACATCTGGATAGTACTTGGGTGGTACTTAAAATGAAAAAAAGTCTTCATTCAAGTAGGACCAAAAGCTACCGTTACCCTCACTTGCGCAACTACTTACTTGACCCGAATGGCAAAGATAAAAGGATAAGCAAGTTAAAAACTGCCTTATAAATCTGTAGGTGAATTCAACCCATGCAACCCTTTAAATACACCCATTTGGCCCCATCGACCTCCATTTCATGCTCCCACTTCATCCATTTCTGCTCTGCTCCCTCTCCAGATGGGACCAGGATGAGCTGTGGGAAACCTGGCAGGATGGCAAATGCCACCTGGGGGCTACTGGACTGCCCAGGTGCAAAGTCATTCAAAACACATCTCTGACTAAGGGGAGACACCAAGTGACATTCTGTGAGACACTTCCTCCATAAAACACATCGCCTAAATGGTAAGACACATATTCCAGGTCAGAACATGACTAATTTCTGTGTAGGCTGTGTCTCTAAAACCAGCAATCCTGTTGCGGTTCAGGTTAAAAGTTCCATCTCATTTACAGAAAGTCCTGGAATCCTTTCTTTTCCCTGAAAACATAGAAGAATTTGACTTGAAAGTTGTTACGGTTTTACATAACTGGTGCTTTGGGTGCTGGAGGAGCTGACTGTAACGCCCACAAGGGATGACAGCATTCCCTTTCCATCACCCTGCAGTGGGTGAGTGTTCACCAAAGCAGATGTGAAGCGCTTACCAGAGCTGTTATTGCTTACTACAGCAGCTTTTTTTTTCCAGTGAAATTAGTTTTGGCATTGAGTTACAGCCACTTTCCTCAGAACATAGAAAACCTTTGCAAAAAAGTGTTGCTAACATTTTTCCACTTTAAAGAAGACTGGCTTTGAGCTAAGCAGCAAGGGGAGAGAGAAACATGAGGGTCAGGGTTCAGCCTAGAAAAACACCCAGAAGCTCAGAGCATAAAGTGATACATCCAAGCTCCAGAACCAGAAAATCACACCAGAAACCTGCTAAGAACTTTTGCAAAGTCCTTTTACTGATGACCTGATGAATGTCTGCTCTGGGTTCTCCATGCATTCTTATAAATAACATCTCAAAAGTTTGTTACACTAAGGAAACTTCTCTGAACAATAAAAATAACTCAGGTGCAATTATAGGTGATCCTTTTACTTATGTGATGAGAATCAGTTTTCTCATGTCTACTATAGCTCAAAGCATGGAATCATGGAATTCTGCATGCAAAACTGTGCAGTTGCTCATTAGCATCACAGCTATTTTTTTATTATTTCATTTACAGAACAGTCTCAGACCATCAGAGAGCTGATGTGTTGATGGCCGGTGACAGGGCTGGTGCAGGCCAAGCCCTGGCTGCCTCCGTGCCCAGAGCTCAAGACCCCCCCCCAGCTGCCCCCAACAGCGCCTGCGCCGGCACAAGCTCAGTGTATCCAGAGCATAAAGATGCAGCAGCCCCAATTTCACCATTTTCTCAGGGAGTTAACCTGTGCTACCCACTGCCAGGCCGGGAAGAGTGAACACAAGGACTGGGAGGTTGCTTGGGGAGAAGACTTGGCCGGCGCTCAGCTGCAACTGCTGGAGCTAAATTATCTCTGAGGGGTACAAGCATTAAAAATTACAGAGGAATTGCATCCAGGAAGCAAGGCATACAGGATATTAATAACAAAGACT